ATGGTGTTATGATGCAGGAAAAGAATATATATAATATATATTATATATATATATAATATATATATATATATATATAATATATATATATTATATATTATATATTATATATAATATATATATATATAGATGTTCAACGATGCACTGACAACAGAAATGTTTTTTCTAATATTGAAATTAGCATAACTGATTAACCTTGTGTTCTTTTCTATTAGTACGGTCCAGCATTACTTTGATTCTAACTGGCAATGTACTGACACACCGATAATAATAATATACAGTACAGTGTAAGTAAAACAAGTACAAAAACTATTTAGAATATATCATTATTAGTAGAGGTATGCATAATATATATTTAGATTGATTCCTCTCTAAAGTGTTTCTCAAGCTGCTGTAGAACCAAAGAAATAAAATCAAACGATGTGTAGCATCATATTCTTTTGCATATTGTTGCATCGCAGTAGGAGTGAATGCTGTCTCGCATTGATAGTTGCTTCATGTATCCTTAATGTAGCACATCGGCCTCAATGATGGAGACGCACGTCTGACCTCCGCCCACACTGTACAGCCGTTTGTGTTTCTCCAGGGTTCCCTTAATGGAAACACCTGGAAATTAATTAAAATGATCAGATAGCTTAGAAATAATGTCCTGGAAATTTTGAACATACTCAGTCAGATGTGAAGGCCTACCTTGGTGCCCATTTAGTTTCTTCTTGGCAATATAGGACAGCACTTGCTCACAACCAGTGGTCAGCCAATGTGAGCGAGCAATTCAAATTTCCAGGATATTTTGGTCATTTTAATCTATTTCCTGGAAAACCAGTCTCTACATTTCCTGGTTTTCCAGGGAAAAAGTAGAATGGACTTTTTGCAATGACGTTCAGTGATCTTTTTCTGAGCTATATCCACATGCATACAGTCTCTTAATGATCCAATTATCATTTATTGTTGTGAACAGATGAGTTGGCTCAGAGAAAAGTCAAACTCATTTGTGTGAAGAACGAAGGCTCTATTGAACTGCTTCATGTGCACGTTGTTTTATTGCATGAATAACAAAAACAGGCTCCTCTGAGGTGTTTTAAGCACAATTCTCCATCCATGTACAGCAAATATACATACAAGCATCGGAATGCAGCTCAAATGAAATGCAACATGACAAAAGGTCAAATCAAAAACAAGTGTACAGTGCATAACAAAAACTGTTTTAGTAATAAAACAATGATTAAAGAATTAACAGTGTCTTCAAAAAAATCAAAACAGTTCATGTGATTATATTTACCAGTTTACTACAACAGGGAAAAGAGCTCAAAATCCTGATTAGGAATGTCATCAATGAGAAAAACATGGAAATAATGTGCCTCAAAAACTTGGAAAGACCAGAAGAAGCAGCTCAGTGGGCAACACAGCCTCTCATAATCAACAATTAAAGGCAATTTATTCCAGAAATATAAAACATAAATAAATAAAAACACAAGTGGAATGTGACGTCTCATTAGGACCAGACTTCTGCCTGAAGCAGCAAACATGCTCTCAGTTCACCATCATGCTAATCACCAGTTAGGGAGTGAAGAACACAAAGCCGGTGTGAAGCTTCCTGGATCCATTCCATGTGTTTAAAACCAAAAACATTATCACTGGAGAGTATCCAAAGTACCGCAGCTATGGAAAAGCACATCAGTTTTTTTAACCCAAGGCCACACAGATGGAACAATGGATCCCATTTTGTGCACCGAGGCCTTTTTTTTTCTTTTTGCCATGGTATCAAAAGAGGTTTCAAGTATGGTTTTTCATACAAGTATTGTAGGGAAGTTTAACATTCTGGTATCGTGAAAACCTTTGAGACAGTCAGGTTCCTCTCTGTTTGAGAGAAAAATACACCGAATAAAAAACAGACAAAGGAGAGCTGGAATCTGAAAAAAATCTAATGAAACTGATGAATGCTGTGTGAGGGAAGGTTGGATGACAGCAGAGCTCACAATAAAGTCCACAGGGATGAACAGGGTGCTCTCTGACTATTAGTGAACTTGTCTAACACCGCCCGGCTCATGCAGATTGGTTGATGTTAAACAAGCACTCCCGTATTGTATCTCCCACTTCCAACCTAAACCAGCAGAAACCTGAATGTAATGTTTAACACTGCCAATGACTTCTATGTGAGGACAGCCTACGGTAGAACCAGAGAGTTATAACTTAGTTTACATGAATATACAGTTAATCATTAAAAAATCTACTCTGGATTAAATTAAATTATCTAGATCAGAAACAACAACAAAGTAGCATCACATTCACTGCTCCCTTACTGTTGGTTAGTTAACTGACTCTACATTAGCAGTCACTCAGACTCGGACCATCAGAAACATTCCCAGGCCTTACACTGATATACTGGACCAGGGTTTAACATCACCACCTCATTCTAAAGCTGGTTTACTGTGTCCCGCTTTGCTCCTGCTCTAAAGTATGCTTTTATTCTTTAGTAAAAGGGACAACAGACTGGGTTTATAGGACGTTTGGTGTTAAATGGTGTGGTACTGTGGCAACTTTAAGAATAAAACGCTCTCTGATGGTCTTTCAGTCCTGTTCTGATTCTCGGGTGAACAAACTGAACACTGACGAGGAGAGGGGAAGAAGAGCCACAAGTTTCATCCAGGAGTCCCAGCCAAGTGATACCCACCATCTTTATTTGTCCTTCTTGGATTCGGAGTCCTCCGCCTGGGTGTCGGCTCCTTGCTGCTCCGACTCGTCCTCCTCAGGGACCGGTGGGAACTGGGATTGGCCGACCTTGTCTCCTTTAGTCTTGTTGAGCTTCTTGGATTTCTGGTAGAGCTCGTTCAGGTTGAACTCTCGGATGATGTTCTCCTGGTTGGCGAGAGACAGAGGCCGTTATTGATGGCAGTTGGTTTGAATTTGACAGTTTGAATGAACAAAAACATGAAACCCATTTAGTGCTGGGCAGTAACTAGGCACTCACTAAAGCAGACAACCAACCAGCCTACAGACTCACTGGAGGTGTGTTACTGTAACCACTTAAGTTAGTCCCTGACTGCACGGTTTCTGCACGTTTCTACACAATCAAGACTAACACCTATTATTTGGGTACTCTGGGTTTTGGTCTGTTTTAAGATGTCACCTTGGGCTCTCCATTTTCTGACATTATATAGACGATGGGTATGGTTCGATGCCCGGCTCCTCCTGCCATGTGTCGAAGTGTCGACGTGTGTGTGCCTGACAAGGGGTGAATAGTGGCACGTAGTGTAACAAAGCGCTTTGAGCTGGTCGGACACAAGACTAGAAAAGGTACTGATGACGAAGTACAGGTCGCATTTCACGCATCAACCATTCTCATTTATATTCTCCGGACTAATATACAATATAGGGGGCCACTGTAATTATTCTTTAATCATAAGTCTAAAGTGTGTGTGTATTATACATTATTATTATTATATATATATATATATTATTATTATTATTATATATATATACATTATTATTATTATTATATA